GTCCTCTGTTTCTGTTGTATAAGATGAACTACTCTCCAGTTTCTGTTACAAAACTTCTACCTTTACAATTGTGACAGTTAAATTAGTCATGATAACTATTACTCTCTATTGAATCATAAGAATCTTATCCCCATCTCTTTTTACCAGACCCATCTAGACAAGATGAAAACTATTCAGTGGGGACTCTATTTTCCCCGACACACTCTTAAACTAAACTCCCTCTTGAAAGCTTGGAAGCCAGTCACTTTGTGCCTTTATCGCCCCCTCATTTTAGGTAGTCAATATCTAAGTTACCCATCCCTATATATCGACCCTGTGTACAGAGGGGATAGCATTGATACTTGATGTAAAGACTCTTTCTCTCTCTGTTGGTATTTAGAGCTACTACTTCCATAAGTATAGGTCGAGTTAATCAAATTGTAGCAATTTGATGAAATTGCTACAAAATTTATCAAAAATTGTTTTTAATCTTCCTCTAGTCAAGTTCTGATTATCAAGCCATCGAGGCTAGGTCAAATGGGTACTATCTGCAAGTTTGGATGTTCTGTGTGTCTCCCCTCACTTCTGAACAGCTGGGTGTTTCACTCAGGGTTATTTTTTTTTCAGGTGAGATCTTTATTGAGATCATTGTTGGTCCCCATGCAGTTGTAAAAAATAACAGAGTCCCCTGACACACACTGTACTTTTTACTCAGTTTCGTCTAATGATAACACTTGGTAAATGAACAGTATAAAATCACAGCCATGATGTGGAGACAATTCACCTTTCTGATTCAGCGTTCCTCACTTGGACTTGGACTCATTCATGCGTGTGTGTGTGTATGTGTTGTTTGTATCATTTTACCACATGTGTATACTTATGTATCCCCCAACATAACATCAAGTTCCTAAACAGTTCCTTTACCCCAAGTATCTGTAGTGTTGTTCTTTTATAACCTGCCTGATCCCACACCCCTCCTTCCCACCTGACTCCCCTCCCCTAGCCTCTGGCAACCACCATTGTTAAAATGTTGTCATATCAAAAATGTTATACAAATGGACTCCCCACAGTATGAAGCTTTCTGGATGGACTTTTCCACGCTGAAGACTGTCTCTGAGATTCATCCAAGTTGTTGTGTGTTGGGTATGTCTTATTCACAACTTTATCTTCAATGCCTAGAACACAGCCTGGCTCAATGTCAGATAGCCAACTAGTGTTTATTGAATGAACGGATCCCCCACCAAAGAAATTCAATTCTATGATGTAGCAACGAGTAAGGGATGTTTTATTGAAGATCTCCTGGAAAGGTGGGGATGAGTACTCAGCTGAAAACTCACAAGACAGCACACAAAGTCACCACTGGGGTTCCTCTCTCCTGCATTTCCATTCAGCGTGTACATTCCTTTCGTCTCACACACGAACCACGAAGATGGCAGAGCACAGACCACGTTCTCTCTCTCAGAACTTCCTTTGGGAATCTCAGCACCTCAGTATCACAAAGATGAATTGCGAGGAAACATCAACTACAGTGCCTAGGAAAAGCGTCATCAAGTTCTGCACGTGGGTGGCAGGAAGAGAAAAGAGCAGATAAACGAGAAACATAGGCAGCCACCTACTCCATCTTCCACTTGAATATTTGAGAAGGTGGAATTTAAAAAATGCTCCCCCACCTTTATTCTACTTAATTCCAATTGCCAAACAATAGCCGGTCCTAATCATGCAAAGGGGTGCAGTTCTGTGGGGAGAACAATATGTCCGTGGTTTGTTTACCTCGTTTAAGATGACAGATGAAATATAGACTGGTAAGGAAGACTGGCACGCCAGATCTTGTCCTCTGGCTTTCAGGAATACCAAAGGTCAATACCAGGACATTTGACTTATCTTGACCCTTTGTTGTTGTTGTTAAGTGCCGTCGAGTCGGTTCCGACCCATAGTGACCCTGTACAGGGTTTCCGAGGGTGTAAATCTTTACGGGAGTAGAAAGCCTCATCTTTCTCCCGCGGAGCGGCTGGTAGTTTCGAACCGCTGACCTTAAGGTTCGCAGCCTGATTCATAACCACTATGTTACCAGAGCAGGCAAGGAGATTCACTTACGACTCGACAAGAGCTGAGAGCTTAGATCTTTGTGAAAGAGCCACAGGAAAATCCATCCTACCCTGAGTCTTCCTTGTTGTGTTCCGTGTGAGTATAATCTCTGACCAGGAAGTCCTGCAGGAACAATTGCTCAGGATTTGTTGATTGCTCTGATAAAGCAACTAGCAGCATTTCCCAGGTACTGTAAGGCAGCAAGTGTCAGGTAGACTTTGTTGACCCACTAAGTCTTTCCTTAAGCAAAATCCAATTGCTATTGAGTCCATCCGATTTAGGACACCCCACACGTGTTAGAGTAGAACTGTGCTCCACTGGCTTTTTCAGAAGTAGATCACCAGGCCTTTCTTCTGAGGTGCTTCTGGGTGGACTCAGACTGCCAGTCTTGTGCTTAACAGCTGAGTGTGCTAACCATTTGCACCACGCTTTTCCTTCAAAGCTTCCTTTAATTCTTTTCCAATCCAGGAATACACTGGATGTGCATGTGGCTACCTCCTTCCATGGAAACTTTAAGTGCATGCATATTACATCTGTAGGATTCATTCACACTCCTTCAGCCCCAGCCAAAGAGTTAGTCCAAGTTGAGTACAAATATATCTGATCACTTAAGCTGTTCACAGATCATTTAGGTGTTTTCTATGTGGACAGGAGAAGCCGTTTCCATGGCAAATCGGAACATGAAGATGGGGAAGTTACCTCCAATGTACACACTATTCAGCACGGATGCAACCTCCACACTGGGTTATCCTGCTGGGAGTCGGTGCTTAGAGGCCATGCACAGATGCACACACAGATGCAGACATACACAGGGAGATAGACACATACAAAGCCACACACAGATGCAGAAATACAAACACAGACACAGACAGATACACAAACACACACAGAGAAGCAGACACACAGACTGCCCAGCTGCTAGGCACAGCAGGAAACACCGTCCTGAGGTGGAGCAACAGGAAAGAGTATGTTTGTCTTCTTGGACACCACAGGGAGAGACGTGGGAGCGCTATGTTTGGCAGGGTGGGGATGAGGGGGCTGTCTCTCTTCCTGGTAATTAGGGAATGCTTCCTGGAGTAGCTGGGACTGCAAGAGCCACAGTGGTTGGAGTGAGCACCTGGCCCTGAACTGCTCACTAGGGGCTGAGGCCCCAACTCTGGGCAGGCCTTGGAGGCAGATG